GCTTTCGTGGCCAGTTATTGATCTACTTCCATTTCGACCATCACATCTGCGTAATCGAGTTGGTCCAGGTAGCTTCCCGTATCACTCTCAAAGCTATCGGCAACAGATTCACAATCACCCCTACTTCTTTCTCGATCACGGTCTTTCACTTGCTCATCTGCTGGTAAAAGTCAACTGTCGGTAATGCACCAAGGTTTTCAATGATTGGCTCAAAGATTTGATGTCGTAAAAATGCCTCATTCTATACAAGAAAGAGCTACTACCAGAGAAGCTTTTGAGCGAGTAAGATATAGATTCGAGAAACTCTGTAAAGAAAAGTGTCCGGATATTTGTAGTAAGACGTGCCCAAAGTTATTTTGTACTTTCAAGTCAACTGGGAGTGGTGTAGCGATATGTGGTCGAACGTTGGTCGTGGGAATTACCTTATAGCAGGCAATACGACGACGAACAGGGATGAAAGCAATTAGAACCAGCTTAAATGGCTTCTTGGAAAAAATCACGTATTGATCGAACAATCGCGGGATTATTACAAAACCATATAAATGGTGTCAACCGTGTCCTGACATCGTTGTGCAAGTTTTCTAGTCAGTTGTACCGACCAGATGACATTCCTCAGTTCTTGCAACGAGTTTCTGCGAAGCTGTCTAACGACACATTTGCGAAGGTTTCGTTTCAGTGGAACTTGTTCATGATGCACCAGACTGAAGCACGTCGGGTTGGCCCAACCCGAATGAAAAAAGGTGTGCTTGCAAGGTCAAGAATGGTGTGTTGACGATCTACTATGGTCGTGCACTTGTTTGTTTTTATAAAAGCCGCCGACTTCCTTGTCAAGACGTAATGATTGTTGCTAGCAAATTCATGGATTCGAATCACTTCCAGCGGAATCAGTACCAGCTCGATGGAGCATGACAACGACTGAAGAATTGTACGAGACGTTTGAAAATGGTTTGCTCCCGCTTCGTGATGTAGTTAATATGGTGAAGACACGACCACCTGGCGCCCCAACCCGCTGCAGCACCCTTAAAGAATATTTCTGCTGTGGCTCTGTGCACGGGATAACGTTTTGTTAAGAATGTGCGTCTACGACGAAAAGAACAGGCAAATATGGTTGTCTTATCAGACGCTAAGAAATATGCAGGCGTACAAGCAGGCGAAATCGAAGGGTTTCCTTTAAGACCGGAAGTGGATGAAACAGGAATGACGCTTTGTTCAAGCCGACCTAGTTGAATTTTTTTCTGGAGACCAATACGAATGGGTTGCTACATTCCGAATCTGCAAAAATGCACGAAGCACTGTCGGACGATGTGATAAAGAAGTTTGCAACACTATCGATGATGACAGAGCTGAAGAATAAGTTGGGAAACTGCGCTGTAAAGCTCAACGATTTTGCTTGTGGAGTCCCATGTGGCAGACTAAACGACGCTACCATCGACATGGCAATCACTTTGATAGCAGAGAGTGCGCGAGGATGTGTTGCCTTTTCATCGCTGACTCTGGCATTGTGATGGCCAAGCCACCAGAGCAATGGTTATCTCAGACACATTTTGTGGTTCTGCCGCTTCACTTGAGTACGGATCACTGGGGGATTATCGTCGTCAAAGTTTTGTTCCAAACAACGCTGAGAGTGAACGTTTAAGAGCCGCTTCATCAACAATGCTATCGCAAAAAAGTTTTGAGCGCATGGAAAAATGAGTTACTGCCGTACTTGCAAAGGTGGCATACTGATAGTGGTTTAAAAAGATCGTTTTCAAACGAAGTAATTACGAGCTGGATCCGTGAGCCGACTCAGCTCGATGGTATCTGCTGTGGAGTGATGACAACCGGAATGGTTTACTCATATGTGCTCAACGCTCGCAGATTTGGGCGTCTTCGTGTCACTGACGCATATTTACGCGTTATGCGATTGAGACTCGCATGGATGTTGCTGTGTACAACAAAGCGGGTACCGACAAGCACAAAGAATTTAGCTGAAATGCAGTAGACGGATGAAGAAATCAGCAGATTCTCCGCGTCAACATAAACATCGTGCTACATTCAGGAGCGCGCTACTACTTTGTTCCTGATCAGTATAACAAACCACAGGTGTGTTTAGCTTTTCCACACCTACACTTGACAATTTACGCCTACATTGGGCGTTGCGTAGCGCCATTGCCTCGCTCGTTTCACGTGCAAGTCCTTTATTGTATCTTCTTAAAATGAAAACGTTACGTCGAGCCTCTCGCATTCATCTCTAGAACGCAGCTCGTGCACCACGTACATGCACCTGGTGTTATTAAATATCTGGTCTTTCAGAAAAAAAAAAACAAGTTGTGGATGGTTGAGCTGCTACCACAAGACAATCAAAAGTTACAATTAAATGTGATGAAATGCAACATTGACAATATCGACGGCACTATCGTGAAACTTCGCCTTTGTCGGCTGCCTCTGTTGGTAATTTATTTCGACAATTAAGGGCGTAGATCAGTGCTAAGGGTGCGGAGGCACCATAAGGGTGCTCAAAGGCTGTTGTGCTGTCGCCTTCTTAGGATGCCTTAACGCCATTCCGGCTCTGTGAGTTGTGAACTTACCTGCGTGTCGAGCGCCAGTGCAATGCTGTCTGCCAGTGTCCAGTGACCTGTCTATGAGCCACCGTCCACTGCCAGTGTCTGCAAGACACATCCCAAGGACACTCATGCGCCTGGCAGTGCAGCTTGCGGCTGCGCTACAACCGGCTACACTGAGTACACATACGTGCAATGGCGAAGGACTGTACCAAGGGCTGTATGCACAAGGACATCGTTGGCTGTGCGCTGCCAAGATGGTGTGTTCAACGAAGTGCATCTATCTAGACTTTAGTATTGACTTATTTGCTATTTGAATACTAATCTACCTTTTGCGGAGCAGCGGTGTTCTGGCGGAGGCTGCTCGCCACTTTGCGTTTTGATGCCTGCCGCTCGCTCGAGAGCAGCAGCGAAGAGCAGCCTCACCTGACACCGCGGTCCTGTCGCGGCCTTTTGGGGAAAATGACAAAATGTGAGTGGATACACTAAAGTTGTGACAGAAAGTTAAAGGTGTGCTAAGACGTGAGCAAAATAAGGTTGGTATCGCCGGTAGGTGTACCAAGTGAAACCCGCGTCAGTAAGTGAGGCATTTAGGGAACAAACGTCACAATGCATGTCCAATCGATTGAATGGTTGAAACAAGGTGGGCCGGACCCAAACCCAAAATCCCATTGTATACTAATGTTCGCAATGCGTATAAAGACCCACATCCTACACTCTTAAGTCCCAAAACCACTTGTCACGACTGAGGGACGCAAAATGGCGGAGGACATCGACGACATCGCTGATGGATTGGACAGCTGCGATGAGAAAAACACTATTCAAGTCGGCATGACTTTTGATACTGCTTCACATGCTCTTCATGCTGTTCGAGACTACGCTTTATCTCATGGGAGGTCTGTACAGTACGAGTAACGAACCGGAGTGGAAACCACCGTTTTATCGGCTGCTCATCAAGGAACGGCCCGTATTCCGTGCGTGTCTACACTCAGTACTGCGACCTCTGCAGCATAACATGGTTTCATGCAATACCAGTGTATGGTGAGCCACAAGAATACACCGCTACAGGTCCAGATCACCTAGCCTAGATCGTACTTGAGCAGGAAATGGATGAGTTTGCAGTGAGCGATCTGCAGACCTATTACACGACGTGGCTGTGTTTGTAATATATCTCCATGAGTCAGAATAACTCGCGCGAGTTAACCTGACTTTCTCCCTGAGTCAGAATAACTCGCGCGAGTTAATTTGACTTTCTCCCCGATTCGGATTAAGTCGCGCGAGTTAATCTGAATTATCTGAGTCTGATTCGTTTCGTACGGTTGGTTCCGCTGGCAATCTCGAATTAAGGGCGTGATATCCAAGCGCAAGTGCACCCAGCGGATAGATAGAGAGAGAAGATAGAGCTGCTGAGAAGTGGAAAGCCATGGACTGTAGCAGACGCTTTGCGAGAGCTAAACGTCAAGGAGCCTACCCTGAGGGGATAAAAACAGTATTGGGATAAACATGACTGGGGGCTCTGTGATTACCGGTATCGTCTCCCAATTGAGATTGGCTCCTACCGACCAACAACGGGATTTGCTGAATGCCAAGCTGCGACAGTAAGTGAGTCGGTACAAAAGCTGTGTTCACCATCTTCATATGTGATCAATTTACACATTATGTCACAACTTTCATGTATCCACTCACCTGGTGTCATTTTCCCCGGCCTTTTGCCCGGCACTTACGTATTTACACATTTCCTTGATTACTTCCCTAAAGTTGATCCGTAAGTGTATTTACATTTAAATGGCACCTACTCTAAGAAACGATCGACGCATGGAGAGCAATCCCCACCCCGTGGCGAACCCTATGTCACTACTGGCTCTACCTCGGTGTGGAGTTCATTTTCTGTGTGTTTCTGTGGGTGCAATGCTGTACATAGTATTTCTTAGTGATTTGTTGAAATTGACTAAAAACGGAGAGGGAGGCACATCTATTGAATAGGGAGTGCCACGACTTGGCCGGTGCAATTGAGGTTTGAATAGTGCTGGTTTGGAACAACCCTTGTTCTGAACGCTCCTTTTGTTCCAATTGATCAGAACGTTTAGAACTGTTCATTTTGTTCCTAATTGCTCCTATTCATGTAAGTTAGAAGGGTTCGACTGAGCCAAAAGAAAATCAGCAAAAGGGAAAAGAAGCTGGCGCCCGCGTGCACACGCTGAGCGCGAGAATGCGGACCATACCCTCGCCGACTGAAGTGCTTGCCACGCCTACCAGGCGGCCTACCCTGAGCTACCATGTATGACTCGCTCAAGTAATGGAGCTGGTCGAGGGAACGGGCGAGGTCGAGGTTGCGGTCGTGGACGCGGGGACAGTGAATATCGATAGAGCTACGAGGTTCTTGAGTGGCAGCGGACAGAGGTTCGTGCTCAGCTCAAAGCACTGGTCCAGTACCGATGGAACTACTGTCACATCGACGCGATGGGTATCGCGTTCCTCTTGGATCCGAACACAGACACGAAACTATTTATTAATGGTGATGAAGCCAACAGCATCAAGGAAACGTGCGACTACGCTGAGAGAAGTAAAATGCTCGAGCGCTTACAGCTTACCTGGACGCAGTTCAATGGATATCTGTACGACTTTTCTAGTGAAAAGAAGCGCTGGACTCGAGAGACCAAAGCGCAATATGCTGGGGTCAATCTGCGTCATTGATGGTCTATTCACGCTCAAGAAAATGATATGTATCAGAAGCTCTCGCTACTAGCAGATATCGTCTTCGCAATACCAACTTCGTCGGCAGCTAGTGAACGGGCCTTCAATATCTTTGACCACACCCACAACAAGAGAAGTTGTCTCTCAGTGAAAAAAGGTCGGCATGCTTGGATCCATCTACCTTAACGGAGGCATTCTTGATGAGGACACACTTGATCTAGCGAGACATCAAGCTTACCCCGAAGCGGATGGAATGGATATTGAGGTTATGCAGCACAGCGATGCCATGCATTTTTAAGTACAGTCACACCTCCATAAATGACGCCCGATTGGTTCGGGAAAAAATGTCTTTTCATTTATAGAATTGGTCACATAGAGAAGTGGCTACATGTAGCCATCTTGCTGAAAGTAACTATTGAGTGTCCGCTGTCGCCTACGCTTCACCACTTGCGTTCGCACTAGCTTTGTCAAAGATGTAGCATGCTCTGCTGGTCTTTAGTGTATCCCTCGCACTGAAACAGAAATGTTGAAAGCTCCACGCAATAAGCAAGGGATGTCAATGCAGGTACAGGTGGGTCATCTTCTTGGTTGTACTGTAACTACACAGATTCATATAACTCACCCTGATCCAAAGGCTGGACAGACGACGTTAGATTAGGAGGAAGAAAGCGTACCTCGATGTTTGAATATGACCGGGTAATCTTGTGACTCGAGGCATTGTCAATCAACAGCAGGACCTTGCGATTTTAAACAGCCATCTTTAAGTTGAAACTTTGTACCCACTCGGAGAATATTCGGGCTGTCATCCATGCTTTTTTGCTATTGTAGTATTGAACAGCCTTGCCTTTTAGCGCACGAGCACCCCCGCCAATAAACAACGTGGGTTTTCTACTGTGCCAATCACGACCGGGTCTAACTTGTGCGTACCCGTTGCATTACAACAGAATGCTATTGTGATACGAGCTTTATCGCGTTCCTTTCCTTTTCTGCTCATAGTTGCCAATGTCTGCTGAGTGTGGCGGTATCATGGTGCGAGCGGGGATTATAAAAGGAATATTGACGGGATTCAGCTGGAATTTAAAAGTGAGAAGGATTCTATGGTGGACGGTCACCTGTCCAGATAGAGAGTTTTACCTCAGGAATTGACTGTCATTTAGCGAATAGAGAGGTTTTAGTCCATTAGAGGGACTGGTTTAATGAACCTCACTAGCCGAGCGCCGCCGCTACGCGGCGGTAAATTAGGTTTAGTTCTACACGTTTTGGCATTTTCGCCTACGCTACGCTTCGGCGGGATAACTATTGAAAAAAAAAACGCTGAACCCATGTGTACCTAAATCGATTTTTTTAATTTATTAATTTGGGTCAGCATCATGCTTACCAGATTTAATAATAAATATTCTAATGATCTTATATCAAGCTTCTTGATGCAATCTCTTTTTTATTGCTGGCTATCACTGTATCTTCATCCTCCATCCAAAACCACCTGCACTTCAAATAACATTTATACAAACGCTACACAATAGGTTTAGTTTAGCGTCGTGCTCGATACCACGGGCCGTTTCTGAGCCATGAAACTTAGCTCACATCAGCGCAAACGATAGTAAAAGCGTGTTCAGCTTGCACTACTTACCCGCTTGTACTGCCTGTTTAATCTTGTAAGTAGCTAAGGATTGATCACTTCTCATACCAAGCTCAATGAGAAACCAAAACAAAATCAATTTTGCACATTTTAATACATTTAGCGCTCATTTTGTGCTGATTCATAATGAGTCATTAGACACTCTAATCTGTGCCAGTTATGATTAAAGCATCTGGATAATGCGTCGCAAGACGCCTTGCTGTTGTTATTGTTGACGGCGGTTTTTTTTATTTGATAGTCTAACGATTATTCCAGGATGGTTAAATGTCATTTAGGCTCCAAGTTTATTAACGTTTCGCTATGAAATCTACTTAACCAACTATAATCAACACCTCTCGTGTACCTTTTCATTCAAATTCGAATCTTACGCCTTTGTCGGCGACACGTCCACCCGTTATGTAGTACTGGATTTTGCTGTCTAAACAACTCTGGTTTACAGCAGAAACGTATCAGTTCTTTTTGTTCAATCTAAAACTATCTACTTAGCCAACTATAATTAGCACCTCTCATGTTTTGTTGTTGTCTTGCCGCTCCATTATAAATCGTTTTCTGCGCCCTTGTCGGCGACACGCCCGCCGGCTAAGTAGTATCGGATTTTGCTGTCTAAACAACACATATGAGTTCTTTTTATTCTATGAGTTCATTTTATTCAATCTAAAGCTATTTATCTTTATGGATCAAGTGACAACGTTTATTAGCAGCGTTGTTCTTACGGCCAGCTTCTGTTGTACATGTACTTCGATTTGTCAGTTACCTCACTCTCAGATAATTCATTAATATTTCTACAACAAAACAGTTGAAGCTTTTATAATCATTGTAGCTTGCAGAAATTAATAAGTACAGAGTGCCTCGAAAACACGCATTCCTACGTGTACGCTAAGCATCTTGCAGCTTAGTAAGCGTCTTTAGGGGCTATTTCATTTTAAAATAAGTAGCTCTGTCTGTTTAGCACTCAAATATTAAAAGCAACATGCATTATTAAAATAGTAAATATTAATACATCGTAATATAAAAACGATGCCGCCTTCGGATACCGGTAATGGATAGTCTTGTGCAAATCTCCATATGTGCTCTGTGCATCACATAAATTTACTGATGTAAGGTACTTAATTTTGTTTTAACCAATTAGAGCCGCCTTCGCTCCGCTCGACAGCCAATGATAAAGCTCAAAAACCTGAGCGCTTCGTGTGACGGACGGACAGACACCGAGCTAGCCTTGATACTTTAGGACTAGCCGTTCGCCGCCGCTACGCGGCGGAGTGGCATGGTTTGTTGGAGATGAGGTGGTCGCAACCTTAGTGCTTCTTGGTGTCGCGTGTTTTGAGAGCGTGGTTCACCCCGGAAAATCTGGCATCGTGGAATTAACCCACTTGCCTTCCACAGTCTCATTCGCCCCCGAGTAAACTCGGGGTTGGGAAAATTCCCTTTACCCCGTACTACAGGCTGGGGAATTGTTGTCTTCAGGGTACCATGCTCTTTCGAGCTTTCCGGGCTACGAGGGTCCGGCTTCACTATTGCCCAAGCAGATAAAGGGCCCGCCTCTCCTCTCTTGGGGTCTCAGCCTCTTAG